GTGCCATTCACTCCTAGTGGTGATACCTGTATTTGTATATTTGTATTAGCCACAGCGTCAGACCTAAAAGTGTCGATCACCAGTTTACTGTATATGAAGGTAAATCTAACACAATCATGCTCTCCTATATAGATCGTGTATAATCTGCCATTCTTTTGTATTCATCATATTGCCAGCCATTGTTATTATACTAATTCCAACAAATGGAGGTGACATTCACTTAAGTGTAGAAAGGTTAAGTATCACAAATATAAGTGTTTATGTTGTTAGGCTTTTAGTTTGCATTATTAGCCTATATTTATACCTACATGCTCTTCATGTTGATTCGTCATGAATGCCAATTGGAAGCATTTTAATACCCGTACTTAACAGTTTTGAAATATACATTAGATGTCAAACCTATGTTGATGTTCAGCAATTCGACATTCAGTTTAGATAAGCGTATTAGTCGTGTATGCTAATTGATAGAATAGAAGTCATCTTCCATAGAGGTTCGGTGGTATTAAACGTTACCATTATAATGTCCTAATGATGATAACAATCAGGCCATACCATTTGGTAGGATAATACAGTGACAATAGCATACAGTGGTAAATAGATCAGCTCTGATTGCAATTATTCGATTTGTAAATATAGAGATGATTGATCTGCCTTCAGTGGATATTCATAACCAATATAAAGTCAAATAGAAGCTTACAAATTGAACATGAAGTGCGCCATTTGTGATTCCACCTGGAATTTATGAAAAATGAATGTCACTAAAAGCAGCTCGATGATACATAAATGATACATAAAACATCTTGCAATGAAATAGAACAAATTTTTTCCAAACATTTCAGGTAGTTTTATCCTCACTTTTTCTTATTATTATATAGTATACATGTTAATAATAATGTTCAAGTGTGTTTGCTTATACAACAAAACGATTCCATGAAACGATATTCTTTAAACCAGAAAATATTCTTTTTCAGAAAATGAGAGCGGATGTCAGCACTTTTGGTATTTGATAGTGATTAGTGTTCAGTAGAAATCATTACTAAAATGACGTCGATGAAAAGGGTTACTGTCAGGTGCCATCAACACACAAAGATAAACTATATCACAACATGAGGACACAAAATATCATATCAATGGATCAAAACACCACAACGTCAAATTACAAAGATGAAATACACAATGCCACATTATTTCACAAGGATACATCATTACAGAAAGGAACAAACTAAACCAGAGGGTCAGCTACCAGGTATAAAAATACTACCGCTGAAAACTGACATCAAAATCGATATTTAAAGACAAAGGTAGGCAAAGAAGACACTTTCAACCAACAACCGATAGATCATGAATCCAAATGAAATATGTAGTAAGAAACGCTAACAACGTCTGAAAACCTGATATTTTGACGAAATTGCATTTCTGTATTAAATTGCAACATTGCAAGAAGCTACCGTAAAATTTGATTTGTTGTAATGGGGGTATTTTGTTTATGCCTGCCGTCGTGTTCCTTTTAACATCCTTTGTCATATCTATGCAGCCATATTCACAATTACATCTCCACTGGAACATTAATATTAAATGTATAAAATAGACCAAGGGTTGGTGTAACAGGGAATATTGATTGGGGTGATTTCCAAACTATTACGTAGCAGGAAGCAGAACTGTTTCAAGAAATCTCCTACACTGCCTGAAGTGCAACTTCTATTACGAAACAAGCTACATTGTTTAAAACACTAAACCTGCTACATGGTCTATAATACGAAACCTGCTACATGGTCTATAACACGAAACCTGCCACATGGTCTATAAAACGAAACCTTCTACATGGTCTATAACACTAAACCTGCTACATTGTCTATAACACGAAACCAGCTACATGGTCTATAATACGAAACCTGCTACATGGTCTATAATACAAAACCTGCTACATTGTCTATAATACGAAACCTGCTACATGGTCTATAACACTAAACCCGCTACATGGTCTATACTACGAAACCAGCTACATTGTCCATAATACGAAACTTGCTACATGGTCTATAAAACGAAACCTTCCACATGGTCTATAATACGAAACGTGCTTCATGGTCTATAACACTAAACCTGCTACATGGTCTATAATACGAAACCTGCTACATGGTCTATAATACGAAACAAGCTACATTGTCTATAATACGAAACCTGCTACATGGTCTATAACACTAAACCCGCTACATGGTCTATACTACGAAACCAGCTACATTGTCTATAATACGAAACTTGCTACATGGTCTATAAAACGAAACCTTCCACATGGTCTATAATACGAAACGTGCTCCATGGTCTATAACACTAAACCTGCTACATGGTCTATAATACGAAACGTGCTCCATGGTCTATAACACTAAACCTGCTACATGGTCTATAAAACGAAACCTGCTACATGGTCTATAAAACGAAACCCGCTACATGGTCTATACTACGAAACCTGCTACATGGTCTATAATACGAAACCTGCTACATGGTCTATAAAACAAAACCTGCCACATGGTCTATAATACGAAACCTGCTACATGGTCTATAACACAAAACCTGCTATATTGTCTAAAATACGAAACCTGCTGCATGGCCTATAACACTAAACCTGCTACATGGTCTATAACACGAAACCTGCCACATGGTCTATAACACGAAACCTTCTACATGGTCTATAACACTAAACCTGCTACATTGTCTATAACACGAAACCAGCTACATGGTCTATAATACGAAACCTGCTTCATGGTCTATAACACGAAACCTGCTACATGGTCTATAATACGAAACCTGCTACATGGTCTATAATACGAAACCTGCTATATTGTCTATAATACGAAACCTGCTACATGGTCTATAACACATAACCCGCTACACGGTCTATAACACGAAACCTGCTACATGGTCTATAAAACGAAACCTGCCACATGGTCTATAATACGAAACCTGCTACATGGTCTACAACACTAAACCTGCTACATGGTCTATAACACATAACCCGCTACACGGTCTATAACACGAAACCTGCTACATGGTCTATAAAACGAAACCTGCTACATGGTCTATACTACGAAACCTGCTACATGGTCTATAATACGAAACCTGCTTCATGGTCTATAAAACAAAACCTGCCACATGGTCTATAATACGAAACCTGCTATATGGCCTATAACACTAATCCTGCTACATGGTCTATAACACGAAACCTGCTACATGGAATATAACACTAAACCTGCTACATGGTCTATAATACGAAACCTGCTATATGGTCTATAACACTAATCCTGCTACATGGTCTATAACACGAAACCTGCTACATGGAATATAACACTAAACCTGCTACATGGTCTTTAACACTAAACCTGCTACATGGTCTATAACACTAAACCTGCTACATGATTAATCATACGAAACCTGCTACAAGGCTTTTAGCTCTAAACATACAAGTTCTGTAGCACTAAAGTTGCCACACGGCCTGTAGCAATATACTTGTTAATGTTATGTAGATCTTAACGTTCTAATTGATGTATATATCTTTTCATGAAAGCATACGTTGCTAGAAAACGAATATATTCTGAGCTATAGTTTACTGCATTCGAATGAAACGTAAATAAACCATCGACCGTGCATCCTCCCTCACTAATTGGTGCTCCGCGTGATGGGCCGACACAACAAACTTATCGCGTTTGTTGTCAAATGATTTTTAAATCATTCCCGTGTCTACATTTTTATTTACAGTAAAGCATAAATGAATGAGTGTATATATTTACAACAAAATAGAAGACTCAAAGGAAATCGTAATTTTTATCATCTATGAACACCTTATGGCTGAGTAATAAACGAATTGTTCCTCACGGATATAAACATAACAGGACCGTGCACACAAAGAACATTTTCCCTTGTGTTGATGGGTGGAATTAGTTTTCATCCGAGAAAAAAATTCTGATAAAAATAGGGCTGGGAGTCGAGAAAGCGTTTCATCTTCAGATCTGACCGGAAACATTCTTTTGCTTTTTTATGTCATGCAATTGTTGGGAAAGAGGAGCAAAAGTGAAAAGGATGGGAAGGAGGTTTGGAGAAGTGGATTGGGGAGGGGGTCGATACCGCAAATAAAACGCCTGTTGAGTACAAAGTGAGCAGGCATACTTCAAAGGAAACACGCACGTAAAAGCATATACCGAGATCGGAATATCTTCCCTGCCGATGCTATTCTCATAGAGCTAATTAGCAACATAAATTTATCACACATTTTTCAAATCGGTGGCTCTGCACATCCTTCCGCTCAGCGTGTAATAAGCTGTTACGCAAGTCTGGTTTAATTTCTTCGCCAACTGCTATAAAAATCAAACCTTTTCTGCATCACTATACATCTTAGTTATACAGCGCCCTAGACAACCCTCCAGACATACAAATACAACTGTAATAATCTGCAGCTTGGTTGTCGTAATATGGTTAATGTATTCGACTCAAGTCATCACCTGGGGGTTTATATCTTAAAACCCATTGCACACGTGCTGCCTCAAGGGGGCTTACAGTCGAACATTAGTCAACCCTAGAAAGGTGCAAAACCATGATTAAAATCTAGAGGTAGTTGCACACCTGTGTATTTTAAAGTAGGTGCTGATACCTGTAGTTTTCTATTCCACTACACTAAAACCGGTGGGTGATATTAAGTAACAGAAACAATACATACCTACAGAGGACTCGCATATGGGTAACTGAACTAATTCGTATGCACTACAAAGTTTAAAAAAATAAAAGTAGATAAAATCTTGTGCAAAGATCTACCTATACTCTCAAAGAAAGAAGATATCCTATTATACACAAAACAGTGAACAGCCTAACCACGTTTTCGTCACATCTGACCGCTTTGACGCTTTCCGTTCATACTTTAATAACAATACACCCGTCTAATAACATCCATGCAGACTTGGCCATCCGATCCGGGCACTAAATTATATACAGCCGCCATTTTGTATCGTCGTAAACCAGGTCACGTGACACGTCTGTAGAACGTGCGGTGTGTAGTGGGCAGACGAGAGATTTGCTATCATTAGAGAGCTCCACTGATACACCTTACACATAATGTAACACCTGAGCTTTTCTATGCCACTATTGTGGGGATTTTACCTGCTTCGATGTGAAAATTAAACCAGTTAACATACAGTTTGTCTACAAAGTGAACGAATTCAATCAAAATGTGGATTTATATGGTGTTTTTCCTTGGATTAACTTGTGCAGGTGAGTAGTATGACATGTACAGGTGACAAAAATCAATTCAGAAGATAACACGGGATCACACGTGTGCTCTGAAAACAACAAACTCATTAAAAGTCTTTTTATTATCATCACCATCAGATTCGAGCAGCATGCATACTTTAATTTTGTGTTACGAATACAATCGATTGATTAACAGAACTTCCATCCAATGGTTCAATTTCCGTATGGATAAGATAATGCATCTAAAGACTTTGCAAAGATAAAACAAGTATTCTTTGTTCACATGTTTAAGCCTAAATGCGAATACATGTAGTTCCTATCGGTGGGCATTTATTTTAAATGTCAATGTATCGATGACCAGCGCATGTAATTAGGAATATATAATAAGAATAATTTGTCATATTTGTTTCTAGATTTATGCATCCTTTCTGAGGATCAAATTAAGTGTATACAATGTGTTGTCCTTGCTATTTCATACATAAATGACATAAGGCTTGCTCTATTGTACAATGGATATGGAGTATATCTTAAATGTTTACAATTCTACAATGTTATAAACTGTCTGCTGAATCCGTGTGGGTCTTCTGCCGAAGGTTGATATAATCGAGTGTCGTCAGTTTCATTCAAACCTTAACAAATAACTTTGGCGATAATATTTAAATATCATCAAGAGACAATAATATACAATTAATTTAACTTAAAATATTATCGGAAAATACTGCCGAAACATAAATACATGATGAAAATGATTTACAAAAGCAGGTAACCTTCATCTCTGTATCTACTTACATCGTGGTGGCATATTATCGCATTAATCTTCTATTTGTCCCAAAACTATTCCACTAATTTGTTTATACATATACGTAATTCGTCTTAAAAGTAACATCACACATTCATCTTTCAGGTTTAAGCATTAATTAAATGGTTGTTGTGTAATCGTATACCTTTGTCAGTTTCTTGTCAGTATTTTTCTATATGAATGACGAACAATTTCTTAACTTTTGAATTCAATTAAAGTCTGTATTACAAGGTAAACATAGGTCCGGTAAAGGTGTGCCGGAATTACAGCTATAGTCTAAATCATATACACTTAATAACGGGGGTGTTTGCACACGACAAATGTTGTAATGATTGTGTGAAAATATACCCCTGTTCAGTGTAAATAACACGGGGGTTAGTTTGTTCACAGAAAGTCGTCTATTATACCTGTGTAGGTAGTAGCAAGCAAATGTTGAAGGTCAATAGGAAACAGTAGCAATAGTTAAAAGGTGACTGTTTAAACGTGAATTGCACATTTAGATAAATGAGGTAAGAGTTCATATCAGTATGCAAATACCAGTTCTCAGTGAATGATAAAACAGTTTATATAAAAGCATTCTATAACGTATACGCGTAACGCATTTTGTCACGCAAAAACCTGTGTACTGTAAATCAGATCATGTACGCGTATCGCAAATATCGCAAATTTGTTCCGAATCTAATTTCTGTTGGGTTTTTTTCCGCGAGCATGTAAAAATGCGTGGTACTTTTCGTAGTTTGTGATCTAATAGAGTCGTTCGATTTTTTCTTAGATCTGATCATCTTGCGGATAAAGATAAAATAAGATACTCGCACGATACATCGTACTTGACTTTTAATGTACACTTTCCAGACAATATTTACCTAATAACATGTATAGCTAAGTACTCCATAAAGATGAACACCTATACCTTTCAAAAGAATGTTTTACTTCATCATAGTACTTTTATAAGAACCAAATGAAGTATATGCCTATACAAAATCTGTCAATGTCTTGTATATATTTCTTCTTTCAAATACTTTCCCTTGTCGCTTTGGTCAAATAAACATCTGTTGGCAGGTACATAAAAAATGCATTAGTTTAATGCACAATCATTTTAAGAAAATCACTATTGCGTTGCATTATTACATTTTATAATATGTCATGGTAAATAGTATAACGGAGATATCAAGCCATGATGATCGGTTAGAATTAACAGCCAACGAGAGCCAGAGTTAATCATCATTTTGATTTTTGTTAATCTAGTAGGAAATTTATTTTCTCCCACACGAACAAAAGTAAATAAAGATGCTGCGACGTCCCGCCGGTGAGATAATTTCCCACTGTTAAGGTACCCAAAACATAAACCAAATGTTGGGAGAGATGAAACCTGTAGGAGATGATGTAATTCATAAATGTGTTTGTTTGTATGTTTAAGTAAATTCTGTTCGTTGTTCATTAAGAATTGTTGGTTTGAAAGAAAAACAACATCTACAATTAAGGATTGAACTTGCATCGTGAAGTCAATTCCTTAACAGCTGCCTTACTTTAATACAGTTATAAATACCAACACAAACACACTTAAACATAAAATTTATCTAAGATCTTGTGATAACATGACTCGGGTTTAGAATTTCATTCAAGTGAAGTCGTTTTTAGACCTTGTAGAGATTGCTGAATAGACAAGGCTTGGATTCTACCTTTGTGACCCCCTGGTATGTACTTTACGTATATGTGTTCTATCACTTTGAAGTTCATACTCAAAGCAGGTAGGCCCTTACAATGTTTTCATTAATAGATCAACTTACACTGTATAGGTTATAAGCTTTAGAAAAACAACATTCCAGCACACGGCCATGATGCGAACTTGTTTTAAGTCTTTAGGATGTTATTTGTTTAATACAATTTAAGGCCAAACTGGTAACAAATGAATGATCAAATAGTATATTAGTTTAATTGTTGGATTGTGTTTTAAGCGTCGGTGTATTCGACGTTTACTGCCCCAGGTATTTTAAAGCTGGTATTTCTACGCATCCGAAATTCTACGGGCGTAATAATTCAATGGAAAATATGCTTAAAATGAACATGTAACATAACATGTACACAAAATCCGTTATTCAGCTTACATAATGTGTCAAATCTTTCCATTGACAAAAGATGAATTACATACTCATATTTGCTATCTTATCATGGGAAATGTAACTACAAGTAGTAGGACAGTTACACCTGGTACCGTGACTCAGCTATTTAAAAGTGTGAACAACAATATCCCATTATCTCCACACGTTATTACTTACTTTTACTCAATTTGCCTAATCGTCAGTCCGTCCAGCTTATTCGATTTCTCAGTTATTAAGCGTGCACACGAAATATCCAACTGCTTTTGGGACACCTGGAAAGACAATTATGGCGGAAATGTTTATGATGGCAAAATCGTTATAAAGATATTTTCCTTTATTTGAATGAAGAAACGAAGATATGAAACTGAGTAAAAGAATTAAAATCAGTTGTCGTGTTCGTTAATTCGCTTTAGGCGTATTCGTACTAACCGTGGACATCATACCTTTCCTCAGACGACGGAATACAAATACAGTCAAGGTTCCAGGCGCTCAGACGCCTAATCAACCATCAATCACCATGGTTTTTTTTCTATTGCATTCACGTCAAACATGTAAAGATTTTGTTTTGCAGGATCTATTTCCAGAAAAAATGTGACTCGTCAGGAATAAGACATAACACGATTGATGCGTATCGTTACGAACGCATCGACCTCCGACACTGCAGTAAACGCACACATGTTGTTAGAACGCAGAAATAATGTAAACTGACGGTGTAAACTTCAGGTGATTCTCTGAAAGCTTTTACCAAACGTTAATATTTGCTCGTATAATACGGTGTGAGTGTAGCAAAAATACAGTTCAGAACAAAAGTGTTCAGATGCTATTGAAAAGTGATTTGCATGTGACTTGTTACGTTATAAAATCTTGACTACAAGTCGTAACTTTACACACAAAACAGACATTGTTTGCAATGTGCAATCCCCTTTAAAAGAAACAGATGGTAATCGACGTTTCATCTGTTATAATGATTTTTTTCCATATACTAAAAGATTCACTGTGACATATATGTACTATACTTGAATTGTGTCATAGTTCAAATATATACGCTAATGAATTAACTTTTTTTTCATCTGCAAATTGTTTTTCGACGACCATGCAATACATAAAATGACGTGTGCATTTACAAGATACAAGAATTTTTATTTAGAGCCGTGTTTGTATTTTTTTGTTTGCTATTCTTACGACTATATATAGTCGTAAGAATATTGTCGAATAACCAGTTTGAAGAACGATTGCAAAAACGTTTTTTCGCGAATTTTAAGTAATACTCTGGATAGAGTCTGACAGACAGACAGACAGAGACAGACATATGATTGGATACGAAATTGAGGGGAAATCATAACTCTTCAGTCAAACCTTTTCCTTAAAAAAACCCCTTTATCAATAGCGACTTAATGTAGTGTATGTGTGTAATAAGTGTTTTTGTCATATGTACGACTGGCAGCTTCCTGGTCACCTCGACAATATACAAGGATGTACATGCCAAACAAACATAGGTAACTCGTTAGTTTGATTCACCCTCTTCTTCTGCTTCAAATGCAGAATGTCAGCATTCATGTTAGCGTACCCAAAGGCATAAGTACACATGATATAGTGTTATGGTGTACATCAATTATAGTACCGCCGTCTTAAACACCTTCACGTGTCCTTAACCGTTATGTCACACGTTTATAGTCAGCACTGACTCATTTCTTGAATTAAATGTTTATTTAATTGAAGAATGAGTCATACTGAAGACAATACATAAATAAAAGTAATTTAAATACAAATTTAAACATACGGAGAGTCGGTAGACATTATTCAGACAAGCGGAATAGATTATAAGGTGATAGATGACAGAACATTTACTTCTTATTTCTAAACTGGGAAAGTTGATGGACATCAGCCGCAATTAAAATGATTTCTGACGACATCATTTTACAAGGTCAATTAATTTTATTAAAGAATAGATGATACTCTACTGTCATTGATAAAGATATAAGTAAACGCGTCCCACGCATGACAAGATGTAACTGCGTATGAATAACACTGACATTGACCTTTTAGATACTGTAAATCAGTTAAACCCCGCGAAAAAGAAATCTTCGCGTTTTTTCGCGGTGATAATATATCGCCAATTCAAACATCTCGCGCATATCAATGAAATGTACAAGTTAACTATTACTGCATGACCGTTGCTGTTTCTTTCTCGATTCGAAATAATCGCGAATAACTAGTTTGAAGAACGATTGAAAAAACGTTATTCGCGAATTTTAAGTAATTTACCAAGCAACAATGATAGGAAAGACAAATCACAATTTGAGAGGCAAGAAATGTATGTCCCGCATGATCAGTAACTATTGGATACAGAACCGTTCACATCTAACGAACAGTTATCTGCTTGATGGAAGTGGAAATATAGACGTCGGTGCGTACGCGCGTTAGCCGACGGACTTCAATAACGAAACTACGTTTGAAGTAGAGGAGATATTTCTAAATCTGTAGTACTGTATTTATCTTACATACACGTTTATACTCTTGGGATGGAATGGACAATCGATCGAAGTAAAGTATGTGCGAACGTATTCCCTCTGTAATCCTGCACTGCATGTGTATCTCTTCAAAACAGAGTTATTAATAATCCTTTTGTGCCCTAGTATGTACTAAATGACAATTATACATGTGTGTCTTGAAACTATCCACAAGTATAAAATAGTAATACTACAACTCGAAATCATTGTATAGACAGTCATTATCAATGGCGACTTCATTTCTTGACATATTGTTTCAAACAAAAATGAGGAGAAACCATCAACTCTTTGTGAATAGAGCCTGGATAGAGACCAAAGACAGACAGAGACACACCAGACAGCCTTATCGATAGAAGCTTCATTTGACAAATAACTGGATACGAAATTGAGGGGAAACCAAAACTCTTCAGTTGAACATTTTCCATACAGAAAAACAAACTTTATCAATAGCGACTTTATACTGGATTCAGAAATGAGAGGAACCTTTCAACCTTTCAGTAGAAACTTTAGATTCCATGAGACAGAGCTCACCAATAGTACCTGATATGATAGATTACAGATGAAAAGAACATCAAAATATAAAGTACGATCTTTTTGTTAATAGTACAAGATTTCAGACATTGCACAGACAGCGATATGTAGGTCCGAGTGTTTGTATATACGTATTTGAGCTTATCCGTATAGCAAGTACGGGTACTTAGGCTGTGCTTTGTATTATTAAGTAGATCCGTATAAACGATCGTAGAGATTTAACACAAAGAGCCCACTGTGACCAATACTTTAACACGCATTATCACCTGGTTGCTCGTCTTCTCTTTCAGTAGGAGTGTGAATCTTGTTATGTTTTAGAATTCTTTACTGAACATTTCAGGTATGTTGTCGTTCAATTTTATGTTTTCCATGTAATGGCGTGTCACAGACCGCTTGTTTCTAATATATCCGCCAGTATTCAAGGTGAAGTAAGAGTGATATACAAACATCTCCTATCCGATACTATCTCACACCCAATGCACCGAGTCGATCAGATAAAGACATCGTATTACCATCATAATAGGAAAGTCTGTTTTATGACATACAATAATCGGTCATTCATTCTGGAATTTAACACACCATTTCCTGGTGGTCGTTATGAAATATGCAATTCCGCATTTCTTTTGATATATTTAGCGATCAAAGCAATGAATGTTCCTTGCCATAAAACCTCCAATAAACAGTCCTTTTGACAGATACAACATATTCAAGCACTAGCAAATTAATTGTTCTATTTTGTTGCAGTCCCGAAAGATGATTTACAAATGTCTTGTTAGATATCATATCGCCATCGTATTCTAGCACGTAAAGATACTGATTTACGTCATTTCTGTCTTCGCAAACAATTAATTCGATTAATTACTATAGCATTTCAGAATTTTCGTACCTACCATTTAAAGTATCATCACACAATCAACTAAAAACAATAACAATTCGAAAAAGTTTTCAATACGTTTTTGTGTAGAACTATTTATAAAAGTGTGGTTCAAACAACGAAGCTTTTCTGTAAAAGGTAAAATTATTAAGCATACAATGTACTATAAAATTTGAAGTTGCAGAAGGTAGCTCAACGTTATATCATTATTACTTCAAGTAGCATTGAGGTCTGAGGACGAGTCATCACAATGGTCATTTATAGCCACACGAAACACTACTGCAGGTGTGCAAAGAATACGAGATGGAAGATAGTAGTAGCGAAGAGGTGGAAAAGAAAAGTATATATATGCATAAACAGAAGCATTACAATTTGTACGGCAGATCAAGTTTGTTTTCTTAAATGCCTCGTGAGCAAAACATCACATAATACGTTCGAACATCGGGATACAGATAAATTATTGTTATCGCCCCCTAATCAGCATGCGACAAATAAGTAACATTTTTGAAAGATTCATTTAGGTTTCTGGTATCACAATATTTTTCAATGTGGCGTTTACTTTTACTTCTCATTTTATCATAAATCATATACATCTCGTCAGCCAGTCCTTGAACTATACATCCCTACCTATTGTTATACTGCTGTCCTGTAGGGCCCTTATCGTCGTCTATTTGTAAACTATATAATTTCCTTTGATCGTATCTCTGTTCATCACCGCTATCCCCTATCCCAATAACTCAGGTTTTATATCAGGTTTGACATTTTTAAAGTGTCACGTGCCCATATTTAATGGGCAAAAGAGACATTTATAACAATAAGCATATTATATTTCATCTTGTCCCTAGGCTGTGACACACACAGACTGTACACCATCAGAGTGTTGACCCGGTCGCTTTACAGACCCGAGTAAAATTCTCTTAGGCTCCAAAAAGTATGTTAGCTATCAACGTGACGTAACGGCGAGAGGTACAGATAAGCATAAGACAATGAATATTTATAAAAGGCACTGTAATTCAAATAAAAAAAATCTAGTAAACACATCTTAGATTATGTTCCGAGCTTAACTGAAAAAATGTCTCGAAATAAATAAATATGTTGCGTACATCTATGCAAAATGCACTAACTCACATTCTTCTTTCAACAAAATCTGAACATGTTTTGCAGTGATAGGGGATCTTTAATTTTGATTTTATGAGGTAAACATAAAATATTATCTAGGAAACATTTATTTGTCGTGATGGAAAAACTGTTATTGTGATGTCAGCATTATGTTTTTTTTTATTATGTCAGCTAATGTCAAACCGAGGGTCGTTAACCCTTTCGAAGTCTACAAACAACACCTACTATTGTCATTTTC